GTATTACATGTTTAACATGTATGATATTTGGCGCAGTTGACGATCATTTTAAGGCACAGTACAAACTGCGGCTAACAACGGTAATTGCATCATGTTGATATTTTCACGGAAAATTCAACTCCGATAGTGAATCCGGTAAAATATCAATATTAAACAACACGGGAGAACAATTAGTAAGCGGGTAATATATTTGTAAATCATATTATTATATGCAAAAAAAAATTTTATTTAATAAAATACAACGTTCTCAATTTTATTTTATTTTATTTTTTTTTTTTTAAATATAATATGCTGTATATATCATATGGATAAACATAAAAATATTCAATTCTTTTTAGGTCTAATATAAGCATCAAATTTCTTGCAACAAGTGATACCAGCCGCAAAATATTTTATAATAGGTTGATTTGGAACGGTTGATTCGATATCATATCTTGAAAAGAAACGCACAAGAAAAGTTCGAAGTTGCGCCATAACAAGAAATCTACCAGGGCAATGCCTAACACCTCCACCAAATTGAAAGAAAGCTTTTGGCCTTTTCGATTCATTATCCAAGAATCTTTCGGGTTTAAAAATTTCCGGTTCCACCCAATAATTTTCGTTATGATGAAGGCTATAGAAATTTGTCCAAAATATTGTTTCGGGTTCAAAAGTATAACCACAAAGGTCAACTTTATCACTTGACGTTCTAAAGAATATTTCACCAGCCGGACAAATACGAGCAGTTTCTTGAATTACGGCTTCACAATAACGAAGTTTGTCAAGTGATTCAAGCGTAATCGTAGGCGTTGAAGTCACGCCATAAACTTGCTCAATTTCTTTGATCAATCGATCTTTGACCTTTGGATGTTTACAAAGATAAATCAAAATAAATGATAACGAGGCCGTGGATGAGTCGGTTCCTCCAAAAATCAATTCCAATATAATTTTACGGATTGAAATGTCGGTTAAGGGTTCGTAACTATCACCCAATCTGATCTTATTTTGATCGCGTGATGTATTCGTCGTGATCAATAAGGTCAAAAGATCCGAAGGTAATTCTTTTTCAACGGGCATCGCTTCAATCTCTTGACGACGTTCCTTCACCCTTATATCAATTTCATTTTCAACCCAATAAACTAAATCAACACAAAGCTTGTTAAAATACTTAAAAATTGAGCGTCTCAAATAACCTGGCATGTTCATGATAAACATGCCACCCTTTAGGGAATCTTGATGATTTTTAAGAAAATCACCTGACTTCTTCAAAAGATGTTGAGGAATGTCAAGCTTTTTGTCAGACACACTATTAAAATAACTTGCTTTTGCATAACTTTTTTTACTCATGGTGGTTTCGATGATCATGTCATTAGTAAATACGGTCAACCACTTTGGTATTTCAATCACGGTACGATTATCATGTGCAGCGACCCTAAACAAATCCCAATATTGGAATAACTCATCACAATTCCTTTCAATTAATTTAATGATGTCCTTTAAAAATCTAGGAGACATCAAGGTTTGACTGAGTATTCGTCGATTTATATTCCAATCTTTCAAATTTCTGTTGAACATAACACCATTTCTATCCAATCCAAGCTCACTAAATCCTTCATTTGGTGGAATCCTGTACATGAAACCATTATTCTTGACGGATGTAGAAGTGGAATAAATCTTTTCCATAGGTTCTAATCCTGATACAAAAATGGATCGTTGCGATCCAAAGTACACTTCACATATGATTCCATATTTTGAATCTAAATATTTTGCCACCTCGGAAGCATCGAGTCCGAGTTGTAACAAGTTTCCAACAATAGGAAACGGGATCGGTCCAGGGAGAGGATTTGTACGCGTAAAATAATTATAATAATAACGAAAAATGTAAGCTCCTAATATTATCCATGCGACCGTTATCCAGTTAATTTTCGTCATCGTTTCATATATTAAGGCCATCCTTATGTTATTTTTTTTAGCGCAACTTTGAATAAAAAATAAAATTATTTTCTTGTTAAGTTTTTATAATTCGCCTTTTTATAAATAATCTAAAAAAAAAAAAAAAATCTTTTATTTAATTGTTGATCCGATAGTTGTTTTCTGCTAACTTTTTTTGTTAAATTTATTATGGAAGATATGTTTAAGGATTTTCAAACATGTAAGAACCTGTTAGACTTGATTCCTCAAAAACCATTTTTATTAATGATTTAACGAATTGGTTTGGTTTAGACAAGTGCGCCGACGGAACTTTGTGCCACCAATCGTATTTATCGCACTAGTATGATTTATTTAAAGTGTTTTTATTGACATTGATACATAAGGTACATTAAATATTAAATATTATGTGAATAAACGTATTATAAGTTGGCAGGGATTTTATGGTTATTAACGGTTAAAGTTAGCTCGGATCGATACTGAAGATTTAGCCAGAGTTAGGTTAACATTAAATACTTTTAACATGATTAAACTTTGTTAAAGTTTAATTCTTAAACCACATTTAATAATTCTTCATTACGAAATTAATACACGACAGTTTATTTTATGTGAACGCTTGAAGAACTGTAAGTTTGAATTTTAAAAAATTCTCTTGATTAAATCGGTAATAACAAGTTATAACTTTATTCTCATAAATTGACCTAAGTAAACGCCAACTACAAACTTGATGATCATTCTATTTGAAAAAAAATAAAGGATTCTATGATATATAAAAAAAATACTTGTAAACTTCCTAATCTTCAAAATTAATAAATACTCAACTTAACAATATATATAAAGCAATTTTTATCCTTCTGTTCTTTACATTGATGTAAAGAAGAAACCATTTGAATAAACTAAAGAATATCATCATCTGGGTTGATTGCTAGGAAAATCAGGTTCCGGGAATTTTTTTAACAAAATTGAGTTATTAACAGATTTGAAGATTGACGCGCGCATGGTCTAGAAGGTGTCTATTGCAAAAAATAATTTCAGTTTTATCCGGTATCTCATGAATCTGGCATTAAAACTAAGCAATTTTTCTAGTCAATATTTACTGGAAATTAATTATAAAAATTTTATATTTGAAGCGATATCTTAAGTAAAGTTTCCGATGGGCTTAGGGAATAACACCACTGTTTTTCTGCCAAATAACTTTCCAAATGGATTTTAGCATCGGGCTCATCAAGGACCTATTTACTTAATCACGATAACCAAATAATAATCCCGAAAACTTCCCCGCCACCTTATTAATGATGCTTGGTTAATCAGTAACCCATGATTTCGTCATTGTTCTCCTGAACGATTTCTATATTGATCGAAAGTACTTTTATTCATCAAGAAATAGAAGTTGTTCAAGAGAACAGTAATCAAATCGTTTTTATATAATACAACTACCAATTAGCAGGTTTGCATTTCGTTGTATTTATGAAATAAATTAAAACATTATTGAGTCATATAAATTCGTTAATGATTCATGGTTTTGATGAATTTACTATACATGATTATTAATGATAAATGATAATTAAAAGAAAGTTGATTGATGTTAAATCATAATTAAGATTTACTAATACTTGACAATGAAATTGTTTCAATTTTCCTATCTATAAATATACAAATTCGTCAACCCCTATATAGTCACCTTTTTTATCGTCAAACTTTTCTTATAGTCATATTTTTGTAATCTCACCTTTATTATTTAACTAATCGAATTAGTTAAATCATTTACACTTGGCTACAAATCACATCAACATGATTAACACGTTTTCGAAAGGACAATTATAAATTTGATATTTTATTAAATAAACGCGTACTAATTCTTTCATAGTCATTGCCTTATTTCTTTATATATCAGTTCAGTTTAAATTACTAATATAAAATTACAATTCAAATAATTTATTGTCACATGAAATGTGCTTATTAAAAGTTCGATTTCTTTCCACTCGACAAAAAACAGCATGATCTTCATGACTACGATGTTATTTGTTCGTTCTGAATATGCATGATATATACCTTTGAAAAGCATTTCACTAAATGAAACAACATCAACTCTCTCTACAAATTTTTGTTATAGCGCACACATCAAAAGTGGAACGAACGATCATTATTACATAATAACTCTTTTACACTTTGAACTAAAAAATAAAATTTCTGCTATATATTTACATCGCTAAATACATTAAAATGCTTTTCTAACCATAACAGATAATGACGATGACGATATTTACAAAATATTAACAAAGAAATTTTTCCGCGGTAACAACAAACTTAAATTATAAAGGTAAGTTTCATATCCATGCTTACACCTAATGCATCAATTATTCTTGGATTAATCCCATGTGCAATTCGGTTTCGTTAAAGTAACTCATGAACCTGTTAGAATACATACGTCACCTTAATTACAGTACTAGAGTTTTGGAACTACTCTACCAATAAAAAAATTGTTTTTATTTAGATCTTGGAATTTTTACTTTATAGCAGATTCTATTCAGTACGATAAATCATATCCATGTTTACACCTATATGTTAATTATCCAAATGTGTTCTAGACAATCTTGATTGATACCTAGGTTTCATTAGTATATAGTAACTGTGTTGTTATCGGCGATTACTCGTCCATGAAGTTTCGTTATAATTATCCGCCGTGTAATTATTAAATTAACAATATATATATTTTTTTTATTTAATTATTCTGTATATTATAAGCAGTTTAATGCAGAGCAACTGAATGTACTTAATGGCCTAAAGCAATAAGTAAATCAAAATAAGAAAATTATTTTATATAAACAAGCTTCAAAAATGCCTTTGTTAACTTTACATTAAGCAAAAATGTAAATGTGATAATTAATTTAATAGGTCAACCGGTCAAGTTACCATCCCTACTTATTTGAATATAATAAACGTTACTTTTTCGTATTTAATCGTTAAACTCGCTATTTTAAAGTTTAAAATATTTATGAATAGGAATTTTTTGGAGCAATGAACTTCTGAGGAGTGTGTTTAATCTTTTACAAATCAATAAATAATTAACCAATGAATTTTAATATCTTGGAGATTTTTTTTTATCCATGAACGCGCCTAGATAATTAATAACAAAATAATTTAATGGAGTTCTTTTTAATACTATTATGAATTATTAAAAGTGATAAAATAGGAGTGTAACGAAGGACTATATACTTCTATGCAAGGTAGTCACAAATAAGGTCACGTGGCGAAGTCCGGTTGTCCGCACGCGTGATTTTTGATTTGTTGATTTTGTATCCGCATATTTATATGAAATAAAAAAAACTCCGGATTTTACAACGGTTTCCGTTTCCTAGTTTACGATAAATTTTGATCTTTCAAAAAGTTTCATCAAATGATCGAGCTTAAATTCATAGCAAAATTTTAAATCCTCTTCCAGTCTTATGTAGCTATGTAAATTTGTACTGGGTTGTAGTAAGATCGACTAATTTACCACATAATGTAATCATTCATCCATAGTTGACGCCAAAACATGTGAAAACAAAATATTATGAAAATCTATCGACATTTTTTCCCATATTTTGTAATCTTCTGTAAATAATATGATTTATTTTATTTCTAAATTAAAATTATCTTTTTACTAATTACTTAATAATTAAAAACAACAATAATGTTTTAAATAAAAAAAATCACGAAATTATTTCTTGGTGAAACACGGAAAATTGTGTAACAGAGTTACCTGATCGTTGGCAGATTATATGCCTTAATAGAAATGAAGTGTCTAGAATAAGTTCTTATTAAGATAAAGTATTCAAGATACTGTATCCTTCAGTCAATCATAATTTTTCGTTTTGAAATTATATAAATCTAATTTATTTTAAATATTATCGAATCAACCACTAATAATGAGAAGAATTTATTGTAGATATTATAGATACTTATTTGCAATACACCACATCCTTCATCGTCTTCCAATATGGTCTTCCTCTTGTATCATAAGGATCTTCTTCTTTTCCGTCAATATCAAAGAGTCGAAGGTACATATATCAATAAATGATGAAAATGGATAATACGTTGATAACGTTTTCAAGGGTTGAATAGCGGTTCGAAGAGGAATCTAAAGAAAAAGAAAATTGTGCAAATTCCAAGAAATTATTCGATCTCTATGGTCCGAAATCAGAAAAGAAACTGATTGTAGTAAATAGAAAATATAGATACGTTTTTGCTCATTATTCATAATTTTAATCAGCCCACGTAACGTCCCAGCAAATTGATTGGTCAACCTCAACTATAAGTAGATGACCCTATAAAAGTCATTCTTTTCAAACCTACTACGATTATTTAAAAATAATTGTAAAATTCGGACCCCAAAGATTAAATTTCTTAAAATTCTGAACGGTCAAAATTCTTTTATGTGTGCAAAATATAGTTGTCAATCGAATCATTAGTGAAAATAAATTATTCGAGTCGAACCTATAGAAAATTTTTAAAAAAATACACCGTTTGTAACCCTAGTGTTTAGATTTTAGTAAATTTAAAACCTTTGTTAAACATTAATCAAAGAATTACTTTTAATTTCTTTATACTCGCACATTATTAATGACTTTAATTAAAATATTATGTTCATTTTTGCAATTAATATAAAAAAATATTTTTTTTTTGCCTTACAATTAAACTTTTTCAAGTTGATACACCAATAAAAGTACGCGACGGTTTTTTATTTAAGAATAACAAAATGTTTGACACTAAATTACGTGAATTATTCAATAATTCAAATAATAAAGTTTATAAAAAATAATACATAAATAAGTTTATAATAACAATTTGTTAAATCGAACGTTTGATAATAACTAGTATAATTTTTAATATATAAATTTCTTTAAAAATTAGAAATTTTAACAACCAAATCATTATACATCCTAATGTTAACAAAAGTCTGAAGTTGATCGGCCAAACTCATGAAGATGTTCCAAATCCATAGAACTAAAGGAATCTACAACTTGATATGCAGTACAACATTTTTCACCTTATTCTGTTCTACAAATTTTGAAAATCATAAAAAAGGTATCGGTATCCTTATAGCAACAGTAGTTTCTAAGTACTAATGTGTTCAAAGAAACATGGTGATTGCAATTATCCAAAAATGAATTCAATGGAAATTTCAAATTTAAGTAATTCAAACGATTTGGTAAAAGTTCCAAACCCTTTAAAAAATTTTGATTCTGACGGACTGTTTTTAAAGTTATGCTCACTTTTAATAGTAAGATACCAAGTGTTTCTTCTTTTGAATGACCTTGTTATATCGATATCCGTTTTATCAGAGCATGATAAATTTAAATATATAATGTTGTCAAAATATTTGACAATGCTCTCTAAAACTACTTTCTTCACAGGATGTAAAAAAAAATCCTAATTCCAAATATTCTAAATAAGAACCAAACAATTGAAGTAATAAATCCATTCCTGGGATTGTACCAATACATTTAAAAGATCAAATAATGGTTTTAAAATTTGCATCGTTAATCCTAAACAATTAATAAAATGAAGAGATCTAAGTCATTTTAAGAGATTCAAACCCATCCAAAGATAGGGCAAGTGTAAAATTACAAACTTCAAACTTAATTGAAGTTAATGAATTGGAATAATGTTTAATAGCATTTGCTGTTTTATTATTAATCGAAAGAGATTAAAATTAGAGATTTGCTCGAATTAAATATATGAACTTTGTGTAGATGAACTAACGCGAGTATTAATTTGTAAGGATATTAAATTTGGTGCAAAATTATCATTAATAAAACCACGATCATAAGGAGATGATTCTAAGGTAAACTTTTCAATATTTGATATCAACTCTGGATGTTCCAAAATTATTTTGGATATTGGCATAATATGATCGTAATCATGATTGGTTCCCATAATTAAATGATTTAGGGAAGCTTTCTGATTTGTTTGCAAACGTCTTAATTAATGAGATACAATTAGATTTTATCACTTCACTTGTTATCTACTCAAATTTTTCATAAAAGGATATATTTTTTTGATCTATTCACCTGGAACACTATATGCACTTCGACTCGAGAAAAGTTAAGTGTTTTAATGTAACGGGGTAATTAAACAAATGTTTTTTATGTGGGTTGGATTATAATTCCAAGTTCCTTTAGGTATTTTTTATCTTCTTGATTTATATATTGAAAATAAATGTCAAGAAAGTTTATAAAATTCACAAATTAGATAAACCGACAAAAGTATCTTCCCAAAGTATGGGGATTGAATTTCGACAAAAAATTTCTTTAAACAAAAATGCACTAATAAAGTAATTTTATGTCGAATAGAAAATTTGTATAATCACATCGAGTATATCTATACGTTCCCCGGAAAATACTTTTAAACATGCCATGGTCGTTGAAGGAGAAATTGAAATTTTACTTTTTTTTTTGACACTAATCTATAATATAAAAAAATCCATGTCGATCGGTAACGTTTAGATTACCTGTATAAAAAATTTTGAATTGTGTAACCTTGTGAGTAACGAATTGTTCTGATTATTGACATTTTTTTCCTTTCGTAATGAGACCACGACCGATGGTTATAACAAATAATTCTTTTTCACATTAATTAAAGAATGGTAAATTTATTAAAATTAAAATAATTAAGCTAATTTATAACGTGATAACTAAAATAAGTTAGTGCAAATAATTATTTAATTCACAACAAGTTATATAATCGTTATATCTAAAATACAATCGAAATTTGTTTCAATATTATATAGAACAATAAAATAAAATTGAACTTTCCCTTATTATTTAAAATTTTTC